TATTAAAATATTTTATTAACATACTAACCAAATATTAATTTATTCAGAATTTATTCATCAACAAATAAATTATTTTGCGTTGACAATTTTAAATTTAGAGTTCTCACAAGCCTTGTGGTTGCTGGAAGCACACTGGCAGCAACCAGAAGTCATCTGAGATTTTGAACAGAGGTGCTGGCTGCATGCTGAGATTCTGAATATACCCATTGTTTAGCTAGTCACACAGGGTAATGCTTACACAATGAGAAACAACACCACACTGAGTAGGAAAGTGTGTGGTTTTGCAAAATTAGCAGTGAGGTTACGTGATCACGCCGACGAAAACCGAGACAAATTTTCAAGAAAAAAATCAATGAAAACCGAAACTGGCAAAAACCAAGATATCACTTCAACCAAGATTTTGGTTATGAAGTTATAACCAAGATATCACTGTATTTATACAAGTCTATATATGTAACTCTTCCAAATTATTTGTTATAGTTATAGATTCTAAAAAGTAAATTGTTAACACAATAACTATTAATTAAGTCCCACTTTCATTTGTGAATTTGTTTACTGACATAAACAAACTCATTTTCCAAACTGACTAACTTATATTTATAATAGACTTATCTTTCCAACTTTGGCATGTTTCTCTTCATTTAATCTATATGATTTAATACAATTAAACAATGCTAAAGAGAGACTGTAAGTTCACTGCTACACTGCAAGTCAAATTTTCATTTATAAAAAAAAAAAGATGATCTGACAGTGATGTAGTGTGTGAGAAATGTGAGTCAAACTTCAACTTAATACACAGTGAGTGAACAGACATAACTAGTCATTTGGAGACTGATCATCATTGACATGCTGTCAATGATGTGACATTGCTGTGATATGCTGAAGAAACATTAGCATATCACACTGTCTTTCATAATCACAACTATTGGTCAATGGATTGCACATCCAGATTGATACAAAAACTTTTTGATGTGAAATTTCACATGTACAAAAACAAAATGTGAGGCAATTGTAAACAATGTGTTGTGCTCTTTTGTCATGGAACAAGTGAACGAACAAATAAGATATGCCAATTGTTTGTGATTGGATGCAACAGTAAACATTGTCAAAAACTTAAAACTGTTCCCTCTGTCAGTAAGGCATTTCTCACCTGTTATAGGCATTAATATTAAAATCTTGAAGTTTCAATCTCTTCCTGAAGAAACAGCAGACATTGTTTGTGCTTTCATTGCTAAAATATTACAAAAGCATAATCTGACTAAAAAGGTTGTAGGGTTTTGTGGTTTTGTGCCAATAATGCAATACCAATTTTTTCAAACACAAATTTTTAAAGGATTTCTCTCTTCTATTCTGCATTCTGATTGGTCTTTTCTTGTCTCCTGGTGATAATTTGAAAACCTTTTGAGGCAAGGGAGAGGTCATTATTGACACTTAACCCAATCCCGGTTGGCTAAAATTCTTCCAAACTTTGAAATTTCCCTTGTAATTCTAGCCTTTTGTTTTCCTTTTTGACACCACTTTATCACCACTTTAATAAAAATATAACCCTTTTTTTTGTAAATAAAGACAGTTGTTCCAAAAAATTATTTTGAAAAACCACCATTTTATTAAGTGTTAATTTTTTGGTGTTTTTAAGGAATGTTTTGAACTGGACGACCGTGTAGCCTGTAAAGGAAGGTCTGGTCATCTAATGTTTTATTCTATAACATGTAATAAAATGGTGGTTTTTCAAAATAATTTTTTGGAATGACTGTGTTTTTATTTACAAAGAAAATTTTTGCCATCTGACGGAAACTTTAACAAAAATATAGCCAAGTGGTGATTTTGGCACTATGCAGTGCAACCCCTGCATATAGTATGTGTGATGTCTATGTAGTTCTTACAACAATATAATCTCTATATTTTGAAAAGCAGTGTATTAAAAAGAAAGATATCCTACCTTTTCCAAATCTATGATATGAAAAATGTAAAAAATGGCTTTAATTTTCAAATTAATTAATTAATTTGAAATCAAAAATCATTCTCACCATCAATAATTGATTCAAAAATTCAAAATTTTTATATATTCAATACTTTCTGAATCAATTATTTTATAACTGATTGATATAACTATAAAATATTAATTTAGCATCATTCATGAATTAATTCAATAACATTTTAACATTATGGAATTACTTCACTTCTATATTTTTTAATAATAAAATTTATTTTAATTTAAGTGTGCAACTAACTTGACTATACAATTCCACAGATGATTCTCCTTTCAACTGATGTCCAGTAAGATATGTATTATGAGAAGAAGCAATGTAGTAATGACTCAATGGGTGATCCATATCCTAAAAATTTTTAAATTATTGTTAATTAAAATATAATAATTTAAAATAAATATAGATTAAATTGAATCTAAATATACATCTTATAGCATATTGGTAATTAAAAGTTATGTGAAAATTCAGTTTCTTTCATTTTTACTTTCCCAGCTGTTATATACACTAGGTTACAAAAGTATCCAAACACCTATAAAATGGAAGTTTTTTTTTAGTTATCACTCATTTTGTAGTTGAAATAGAAAAAAAAATGACAGATGTAACGTTGGATTTAATGACAAATTTACTCATTATTAGCATTTACAATTTTCTATAAAACCCATCTCTATCTTCAAAATTACACTTTTTGCCATTTTATAATAATCAAAAATATAAAAATTTTTAAAATAAAATATGATAGCAGATAGCATGCCAAAATTTTAAATATAGCCAGGAAAGTTGAGCAACTTGATGGCTTATTTAATTATATATATAACACAGTCAAGATATTATAGAGTAAATATAGTAAAAGCTGAAGCATTTTACTATATTAAGTTTCTTATTTATAAACTTTAGTCGAAAAATCACATAAAATATACTTTTTGTATTTTATAAAATTATTTCAGTTTTTGTACATTTAAATGTGTCAAATCGTGAATCAACTCATAATGGCTTTCAGAATTGCTGAAATTTTAACAAAATCATATGTAGGTGCACTCAATATACTCAAGTATGAAGCATTAATTTTCAACATTATTTTTGAAAGAAACTGAGGATCACACTAACAAAGATAAAATTTAACTAAAATATTAAAAATACAAATTCTGTAAATTACTTAATTACATAATTACTTACATTTTCATTAGGAAGCATTATTTCTGGAACAAAAGCAAAACTGTCTTTATCCATCAAATAACGAGCAAATCCTTCAAATGATAAGTACAAACGACTTCGCATAACTGGATCTGGTTCGTGTTTCTAACAATAAATTTTTTAAATTATTAAACAGAAAAATTAAAATCATGCAATAAAAGCTTAATTTTGTATAAAACTGTTGATTCATAATTTTAAATATAGAGATAATTATATTAAGAAATATAATAAAAGTTATAGGATCTCAGCACTTCTCATAAATATATACAGAACAATTGTCTTTTGCACAGCGGTGGATTAAGCAAGTAAGCGGACTAAGCAGCCGTATAGGGCCACGGAATACAAAGGCCCCCCCGAGATCTTAACTCTTCTATGGTCACTAAAACTCTCAGTGTAACGATATATCATTATACATTTTAATTTGGATTTTTAATAAAAATAAATAAATAAATAATAGATACTTCTTATTCTCCAGCTTTTGTTCTACATATTTTTGGCCAGGTGGCAGTCAGTTGACCTATAAAATGGTCGGTTTGAATTTTTGAAATTTACTTTGCTTTTCACAATTGCTTAGCAGTGTTAGCTGTTTGTGTTGCAGGTATGCTAACTTTTGTTTCTTTGTTGTCTATTCAATCATTCATTCATCATTTTATTTAGTTTTTTTTATATATGAGAAAGATGTTTACTCAAATAAAATTATGGAAAAGAGAAATTGGCTGGTATTTTCAGAAACAAGCAAAAGTATTTACTGCTACCCTTGCAAACTCTTTTCAACATCAAAGTCTAAATTAATAACTGGTTTGCAAAATTGGAGATTGATTACTGTTATTTTATAGGGCCATGAAGTTTCAAAAGAACACATATCAGCCATGTGTAGGCTTACCATAATATTTTCTTCTCAAACCGGGACAATTTTGAGAAAATACTCGCAACAGAAAATTAGCTTACTAGGATAAGTATCTATGATTGAAAAGGCTAAATATAGTAGTTTGTTAACAAAAACAACGAGTTAAAAGCAATTTTTAATAACTGAACTAAACATATCTTATTATTAATATTTATTTTAAAAATTCTTTGTCGTTTAAATCGGTACATTTAAAATATGGCAATACATTTGAGGAAGTTCCTATTGCTTGCCTTAGGTTTCACACATTTCAAATGATTTTAAATGTTTGATGCTCACCATGAGTTACTGAAAATTATGAAAAGCACAGATCATATTTCACTTTGTCAATACGATCATAGAACTTTTTTTTCAATCATCAATAAACACATGGTTTCTTTTTGGCATTTTAGAGATTAAATGAATTTAATATACCGCGCATTCTTTCATTCAGCAGTGCGCTGAGCAGTTGCTGCCGGAAATGACGTTTTCGCTGTTGACGGTTGAAAACACTTTTGCCGGAGAAAGAGCTATCTCAAAATGGCTGATATAAACAATGTTTTTCTTTCTTCTATATTTACGCGCATATTAGAAGAAAGGCCATTAAGTTCGATGTTATTTATAAGAAAACAAGGAAATGATGATTTATTTATGGCATTGGCTATGACTGATTCCCAACAACGAAGAAAGCGTGCAAAAATCGTTGGTTACGTTCACAATATCGTACCACAGTATTCGAATGAAATCTTTAAAAGCCATTTTCGTATGTCACGATTAAAAATCTGCTTATTTAAAAGAGCAAAAAACTGATTATTATTTGGTAGTCGAAAAAGATACTTTCTCATGGATGCTTCCATCTTGTAAGCACTATTTTTAGCGTAATCGAGAGGTGCTGCTAGTGCGCTGAAAGAGCACCTTAAGCGCGCTGACAGTAGGCTTAATAATTGAACACATGCGCTAAAAGGGCTGCAAACGCTGAATAAAAGAATGCGCAGATACTGTACGAAATAATTGCAAATGCCGATCAGCAATTTGAACTCGACTAAGAGATGACATGCACAGCAATGACGTGGCCAGTGTAAGTTTCAGTCTTGCCAACTCTAATTGAAACAAAATATCTAAAAAAAAAATGAAATAAAAATATCTAGATGTCATTGACTACGTGCTATTATAAATTCTGTGAAAAAATATCTGAATGACAAAATAAAACATCTAAATTCATTAGGCCATATGCTATAAATTTTTGAGGAAAACATATAGACAACATTAAAAGTACGATCTAGATACGAAATATTTAGATTGACAACAGTGAGTGTAACAGAGGGGTAAGTGCCAAATCGCCATTTTACTCGAGGCTGCACTATTTTTACTTCTTGTATATTCGGCACTTTAAAATTTTACCAAATAACCGGGACAAAATGACAAACTGGCCGGGACGCTGGGACAACATAGTCAAACTGGGACAATCCCGGTCAAAACGGGACGTCTGGTAAGCTTAGCCATGTGTACTATGTATAAAATATCAACAAAATTCAATAGAATTGATACTGAACTATTACAGAAAAAGGAAAAAGAAGAATGTTACTGGAGAGATGTGTTGAAAAGAATTGTATTGTGAGGTCCCAAAAAAACGGGTTGAAATTAAACATTTATATTAGAAATTTATTAAACAAAACTAGAGGAAAAACCCCTCCATTGTTAAAAATCAATCAAAGATCAGATTCAGTTGTGCTAATCATATAAAACTGAGATGTAAAAAAGAAAAAAAAAATGCTATTAATGTAAAATATGATGCAATAGATGTAAACAAGTGTCCTCCAGTAGAGATGGACCTTTGACAAGGCGCTTATATACAAATAATTAGAACAGAAAATCTTGAAAAGGGGACATTGTGTCAAGTCGTTAAAATTCTAAGACATCATAGACTAGACAACAATGGGGTAAAATGAGTGCAAGTTCCATCAACACTTTCTGTCCAGAGTTAATGGATGGTGTTCAGTAAATTCCCTGAAGCAAACCTTCTCGGGTCTTGTTTTTCGCTTAGGGACAAACATGGAACAAATCAGGATGGACAAAAAGGGGAGAACGGAGATTGATATAATCCCCGATCATCAAGGACATAAGGTATTCAGCGAGTCGACACTCAGTGAGTGAAATTGGAAGTGCTGTGTCAACACACTTGGGACGAAGCTTTACATCTTTGTGCCGATACCAAAGCCGTGCTGTCACTGACACCAACCAATGAAGTCTCCTCATCTGTCTCATAAACTTTTTAACAACACTGCCCCAGGCCACCTCGACAACAAACAACAAAAGTCAGCAGACATAACTATCGCATATGGGGTTCTGAAAATCTGCATGCATTTCTGGAACACCAGTGCAGTAACCCTAAAGTGAATGTCTTGTGCACCATGACAAACAATAGTATGATTGGCTCATTTTTCTTCACCAAAAACACAATGAAAAGCAGCAATTACCTCAATATATTTCAACTGTTTGCTCTTCCACAACTGGAAGACCAGCAAGCAAATTTGATTTTCCAACACAATGGAGCACCTCCACACTGAACAAAAGAAGTCCAGCATTACTTTGATACAACTTTTCCAGATCAATTAAGCCAAGGAGGTTCCATCATTTGGCCTCCTCACTCAACCAATCTGACACACATTGATTTTTTCCTTTGGGGATATGTCAAGGATTGGGTGTATGCAAAAAAAAAACGGTATGGCACATGGCAGAATTGAAGAAATGCATCACACAGGCAATCAGGACAATTCCAGTTGACAAGATCAGAAGCACTTGGAGAGAGTTCGAATATACACTAGACATTGTGCAACAAACAGATTTATTGAGTTAAAATAAAATTTTTCCATTTGCTTTATTACTTGCTGCTGCAGTCGGGTTTTTACATCTCTACTGGCATAATTTTTATGAACATATCTAATGGGGTGAATAATTTTTGGACATCCTATAATAGAAAATAATCTCTATATATGGCATGAATAGGCCAAGACTGATCAAAATACAAGTAATAGAATTGGTCAATATCTAGTGTGTTCAACTCTGCATGTTTTTATAAGACATATTCTGGACTGTGTAAGAATGGCCATTTTGGAGAGATGGAAATGATATAGGAGATGGTCAACTTAGAAGGTTCCACTATAAATATTTCCTTATGTGATAAAAATCTGATGAATTTTAATGATTAGGCCATCTTAGTGAGATGCAGATATTGTTTTTGCTTGTTCAATTACTGTTTAGAGAACACTGTGCAAAAACTTACATTTATGTTGTCTTCTAACTCACATCATATTGATAACTGGATATTATAAATATTAAAATTATCACCTATTTATATTTCCAAGTATATTATAGCATTATTACAATTATTACAGAATCAAAACAATATCATTAAAATATTTACTGTTTGGCAGCCATTTTGCATTTTTGACACTTGTGGAGTTTAAGCTTCCATTTTACTTATTTTATAATTATATCCACAATGAATTATTAATTAAAGTAAAAAATAAAAAATCAATGTTTAATGTTTGAAATGGCATCTTCTAAACTACATATTGATAAGTGTCATATTTTCAATGTCCACTCCAGAAACATGGATTGTATAACAGGTGAGGATTATGCAAAGATTTTATTAAAATACAACCACTCTAAAAAAACTTTGGTAAACTTGATACAAAGTTACAAAAACATCAAATAACCAGAAAGAGAAAAAAACTTGGAAGTGCTAATGTTTTTGCCCATGTTGAACAGGCATCTTCAAGCTAACTAATCTTCAGACTGTAAACTTACTTTCTTCTCCCCCTTTTTCACACATGCTCGGCAATCCCCGTTGTTTCAACAGCTGCAGGATTAGTTAACCTGAGGATGTCCATTCAACACAGGCAAAAACATTAGCACTTCCTAATATTTTTGCTGATTATTTGATTTTTTTGTAACTTGGTATAAAGATTCTATTTCTTCTTTACTTCACAACTGGGTGCATAGGTAGACACTGGACATCTTTAACTGTTTGGTGCACTGTCGGGAAATTTTAAGTATAAATATATGTATTTTAAAAAAGGATGTGTATTAGTTAGCACCTCTTTACTAAATATCTTAAAGAAAAAACCGATGGAACAGGGGTATATGCCCAAAATGCATATCGGTATGTAAGATATTCCTGAATAAACAGTGATGTTAAAGATGTCCAGTGTCTAACTAT